GTTCCTGGGAGGGTGCTTGCCCTACTGTGCTTTGTCCATGGTCTTTGCATTTCTTCATTCAACGGCACAGTCTCCGCAGCAGTTCCCCAGCAGTTCCCTATCTGACGCAGATGAGTAGCGCTTAAAGTGAGGAGTACAATAAGTTATAGTTAGAGGTTCCTGGGGTTTACTAACTACGTAGAACTGTGTTTATAGCCCTACTTACAGTTTGCGTAACCCCTTGAATTGAAGGCCTGTTTAAATAGGTGGATTATAGCAAGGGCCATAAGCCCGGCTTCTGGTAGCCATTGAGTCCCATGGGCCTCCAAGTTGTTTTGAACAGGGATAAGTACGCGGTTTAGGGTTTAGGTTTTAGGGTGTTGTGCTCAAATGCTTCATAAAAGACAAAATCTTCCTCCTGACCCTAAACCCTAAACCATGATCTGACAATGACCCTCTAGCCTCGAAGCCCTCACGCCGCCCTAAGCCTAGACCCTGAACATCATTTTTCTGGCAGTTCTTGTATTCTATCTTTACTCATGGAAACGATTGCTGTACTTTTGCTAGTACCCCCAAAGCTCTACACTCTAAACCCTAAACCCCTAAACCCTATAAACCCATAAACCCTAAACCAAAGCTCAGGCTTGGAGGCACCAACGATCTCATGCCCTCTTTGCCGACAGGAGTTTGTCGCTTTGGCGCACTTGAGAGGCTGGAATGGGGTTTGCCTATTACTACTGATACTACTTGGTAGGGGAAATCCGAATCGATGAGTTAATGACCAGTATTATAGGGAGATTACCCCAGTTGAGAATTGAATGGAACTGAATGCTGAAACCAAATGGAAACTGGATTCATTTTTGTAGGTAGGGACAATCCCAAGTTATGACCCTCGACCCTTAAACCCTTACATCCTAAACCCTTAAACCCTAAACCCTAACCAGGGTGTGCTGCCTCAAGATCAAGGTGTCAGGTCATGCAGCAGGTCGAATATAGGGGCTTAAATAATTACCAAAATTATGGTTCCATATTCCTTATATAACTATGGTCTATAGAACCTTAAATGGACCTCAAAATGATATTGGTAATTGTTTAGGCCCCTGTAGTAAGTTCTTAGGCTTGAGGGTTTAGTGTTCAGCGAAACACTGCAAAACGAATTAAGGGGTTAGGGTCGAGGTGCAACACATGGTATAAGACAGGGTATACGTTTAGAGGTTAAACATATTATAGCTATGAATAGGCCCTAAGATTACGCCTATTACAGACTGTTACTGGGTGGGGGCAGTACCCAACAAAGGACCCACAAATGGTCAACGACGTGTCGCAGTTGCATTACCCGGCCGTCAGGGACGACGACGAGGCCTGTCAGGGCGAACCTGTGAAAAGAGACATGTAGGGTTTTCAAATTAGGGGTACCTTTTCGGGGGTCCCTACAATTATAAGGACTACAGTATATTGGGGTCTATATTATGGTCCCCCTATTTCGGGAACGATTCAAGCCCTATATGGGGGTATAAGTCCCCCTTAAATACATAGAATACGGGGTATATGGAGATCTTGTTATAAACCACCCAAAGCCATATTCTATCTACATAAGGGTGACTATACCCGCCTGAAGGCATCTCTGAGCCTGGCAGCTTCCAGTTACGGGTTTAGGGTTTAGGGTTTTAGGGTTTTAGGGTTTAGGGTTTTAGGGTTTTAGGGTTTAGTACGGCATTTAGGGTTTAGGGGAGTCTCATCATCGAGGGCTCTAAATTCTGCTTTGAAGTGGTAGTTTCCCAAAATAGGGGGCCCCAATAATATGTACCGGGAAATACCGTAATCCTTATAACGGGGACACCAAACATGGTACTTCTGATTTTGGGAAAACCTAAACATTAATCCCTAAATCCTATATATCCTTGTTTATCATCCCTGTAAAGCCCCTTCAATGGTACCCTTAATTTTGTGAAATCCCTAAACCTTAAGCCCTTAACCCTACATATCCCTATATAACCCCTATATAACTCCTTTTAAAGGTACGTACCCAAAATTTTTGGAACCCCCAAATGGCTTCAAGCCATTTCAGTGTAGAAATCGCGAGATCTGGATTGTTTGTGTCGCTATTTCTCAGGCGGCCTGAGCTTGAGTATCTTCTGGGAACCCCTAAGGGTACGTATAAGGAACAGGGGCTTAGGGTTTAGGGTACATTGGTTGTAGTCCCCCTTATGTAGATAGAATACGGGGTAATTGGGGATCTGATTAGAATTTATAGATAGTAGTTTCAACTTTCTTTTCCATCATCCCTATGAAAAACCCTCGAATTCTATCTACTTATGGGGGACTATACCTATAAGGTACTATATTAAACCCTAAACCCTAAACCCTTAACCCTAAAATATAAGGATCCTAGGGTTGAGTTCTAAGGGCCGGGCCCTTGGCCTCAACCTTAGAGTGAGGTTCATGTTGTACTGTAAGGTAGGAGACAGCTTACATTCCAAGCCCCAAGTCCCGCTTTGGTTTAGGGTTTAGGGCTTCGTGCTTAGGGTTTAAAAGCCCAAACCCTAAAGCCTAAACCCCAACCCTAAACTCTAAACCCTAAACCCTAAACTCTAAACCCTAAACCCAACTCCTTCGGCCCCGAGCTTTGCAGCTCTCCTCACTTTGCCAGCCTGGAACCCCAAGAACCTCTCCATCTTCTGGAGTTGGAGCTTTTGACGGTTGAAGCAATGGGACCTTGGCCCTTAACCCTGGGATCTTTATGTCATGTACCCTTAAGGCTCCCTAGAATCCACCTAAAAGGCCTAAGGGCCCATGTTACAGGGTAGGTTTGAAAATGGTTTCTATTGTTTATTACCCGTCATCCCTAAATAATCTCTATCACGCCACAATTTTGTTATCAGAGTGCCCCCAAACCTACCATAGATTCTGGGATCCATACTCCTAACCTTAGATCAGCACCTAAAACTTAAACCCTAAACCCTAAACGCTATATAGCCCCTTTAAAGGACAAAACCCTAAATCCTAAACTCTGGCTGGAGGAAGATGTGTGGGAGTCTAACAAGGAGGAGGCCAGGACTGCATCCCTCCGCTTTCCCTACTGGGGGGTTTAGGGTTTAGGGTTTAATAGGGAATGGGTTTAGGGTTTAAGGTTCAGGCGGGTGAATATAGGGAGTTTTTTAGGGGCATGTATGGAGATTGCATAGGGATTATTTGCAAGGATCCACTCCCCCACTCTCCCTCAAGCACCGGTAAGTTTCGGAGCATTAGCAAGGAGCCGCATCAAGGAATGCCAAAGACTATTGAATTTGCTGCATACGTATACATCATCATTAGTTATGACTATGTATTGTTTAGGGGTTGTACGTGCGTATGCATCATCATCATTTAGGGGTTGTATGTGGTGCGCCATATAGGAACTACATAGGAGGAAAGGCAAAGAAAGTGGAAACAGCCCTAGACCCTATACCCAAATTAGGGTGTAGGGTTCAAGGCTCGATCTCATCGTTTGGCATACCTTGGGCACTGCCCCCATTCATTAACAGCTGGTAATATTCATCATATAACCAAGTGAGCTACAATAACACTTCTGAAGGGTGGTTATATAGGGGATTAGGGTTTAGGGTTATATAAGGGATTATATAGGGGACTTCTGGGTTACTAAGCGGGATACTAGGAGTTTAGACTAGGGCTTCTATGATAGAGCCCTTAATATGACCCCTTTCATAGACTGCTACTCGATGGGGGGCAGGAGGATGATAAGCCGACTTTTGGGAGAAGTTTGCTCCATGCTAAGACTTCTGTTTTTGCCAAGGTTTAGGTCGAGTTTAGGGTCTGGGGGTGGGGAATTCTTTTGCAGGTTTCTTTGAGGGCAACATTTTGAGCTCATATGATTTGGGTCGGAGAGCAACATTAAAGATGGCAGGTTCTGATAACAGGAAGTTTTGGGCGCCTCAGGGATGTGCAGAGATGCCATTGGAGTCTCTCAACATATTCACCCTGTAGAATCCCAAACAAGAAACCCCTATAAACCCTAAACCCTAAACCCTAAACCCTAAACCCTAAACCCTAAATGGCTGTTGGGCCCCTCGGCACTCCCTGTTTTCAGGATTTCCCAGGCGAGCCCTTTGGGATTTCAGGGAGATCTTTGAGAGACTGCCATGGCCCAGGCAGTTTAGGGTGGTTTAGGATTTAGGGTTTAGGGTTTTACGGTAAGATATAACACTATACACCCCTATATAACCCTATATTGTAGTTTCCATCTTCTTTTCCATGATTCCTGATCCCCACAACCCTATATAATCCACTATACTGTGCCTATATAAGGTGATCCCAAACTTGCGGCTTCGTCTTCTTGAGTTTTGCGTTAGGGTCCAGGCCTGTTGGGCTTAGGGTGGGCTTGGGGTGAAGGGCTTAAGGTGTGAACCCGGCGATGTGCGGTGAGGCCAACGATGGTGCTCCGGAGGGGGGCTTGAAGGAGGCCCAGTGTTGCTGTGCCCGGGCTTAGGGTTCAGGGTTTAGGGTTTTGGGGCTTAGGGTGTAGGGCTTAGGGTTTAGGGCTTAGGGTGTAGGGCTCAGGGTTAAGAGGCGTCATAGCTGGGCCATGGGCCCGATTGTCGCGAGCTGTGTGCACATGTGCACACGGTCTAGAGTTTAGGCTCCAGGGTTTAGACATGTTTGGGTTCTAGGGTTTAGGATGTTCAGGTGGGGTTTAGTGTTTGTTTCATCTGTTTATTAGTCTTATTAGCCAAGCTTCTTGGGGGTGAACTTCATCAAGTTGGAACTAGTGCGCCTACCCCCTTGGAGATGCATCCCTGCGCAGTTGGTTCCGAGTGGGTCAGCGGTAGGAGCAGGAGAGCTGTATTTTTTGCGGAAGCATTCCCACTTCTCTCAGAGCTCTGGTGGCCTTGGCTGCTCTAGATTCTTAAAGAGGTCGTCGAGCTGGGCACCTGTGGATCCTTCCTTTTGCTTCCGCTTCCTTGCTTCGGCTCTTCCTGTTCCTTTCGTTGGGTTGGACTGGGGCTTTTGAATGTGCGGCAGCTATGAGGAAGATGTACAAAATGGTGCAGCAGCTGGAGATAGAGAGTGCAACATCTTTAGGCCAAATGGGCCCTGCAGCAGCTGAACGTTTGCCGCAGCTGATCGAAGCCTTGGTGGATGGACCTAAATGGATGCGGATTGATGCCGCAGATGCCTTAGGCAAGATTGGTCCTGCAGCCGCTGCAGCTGTGCCGCGTTGGAGGATAAAGATGAAGACGTGCGCAGCTTCGCCGCAGAGGCCTTGGGCAGGATAGGTCCTTCAGCAGCAGCAGCAGGTTTGCCGCAGCTGCTTCAAGCGCTAGAGGACCAGGTTGAATTTGTACGCAGCAGCGCTGCAGAGTCGTTGGGGAGGATGGGTCCTGCAGCGGTCGAAATTGTGCCGCAGTTGTTGAAGGCACGGGAGGACCAAGATGACAATTTACGAGGTGGTGCCGCAGAGGCATTGGGAAGCATCGGTCCTGTCGCAAATGAAGCCGTTCCGCAGCTGCTGAAAGTGCTGGAGGACAAAGACCAGCCCTTGCGGGGACATACTGCCGAAGCCGTGGCCAAGATCAATCCTGCAAGTCTCCCGTGGGAGAGTCTGATTGCTGCGCTTGCACGAGTGGATGCGATGGAGCCAGCCCACGGTATCCTGTTGCAGCTTGCGCCGTCCCACCACCAGTGTAGTGAGGATTCAATGGATCCACTTGTAGCAACTGCAGTGCAGCAGGCGATAAGGTACACCAAGCGCAAGGACGTGTTTCGGTTGGCCGTCAAGGCTCTGCCTGCCGCGTTGAGAACATCCGAACTTTCAACCTTCCAGCGACGCAGCCTCGTGCAGCGAGCCCTCCAAAAGGTGCCCTACACCGCAGTGGAATGCAAACTGCATGAGATGATGGAAGCTCAGCCTACCAGTTCCCTCCGTGATCCATCGGAGCAAGACATGAGCCTGCCGGACTCTGATGAAGCCTCTTTCATTTTTACTCTGAGCAGCAGTGGCAAGCCAGTAAGGGACGAAGCACTGCTTGCTCAACTAGCAGGTCACCTGCCTCAGAAGTCCTTTGGTGTGAAAGCCGACTCTTTTGGATGCAGTTCCGGTTGCGAAGCATCGTTGAGGCAGTACGGCCTTCAGACGGATCAGAACAAAGCAGCAGATGCTTCATCTCAGGAGTCGCAACTCAGCTGTCAATCTGAAGCCCCTGAAGTGCCTCGGGAACTCTTGTCTCCGTGATGAAGATGTGTTGGGGTCCACCTTCAAGTCGTTACCTGAAGCGTTGAGGACATCCGAGCTCAGCACCGTCCGTCTACGCAGCCTCGTGCAGCAAGCCTTCCTGAAGGTGCTGTATGCTGCAGTGGAATGCAAGCTGCAGAAGACAGGCAAGCCATGAGCCTGCTAGACACCAGCGAAGTCTCTTTCAGCGCCAGCGCATGCAGCGAAGCATCGCTTGCTCCGCGAGCAGGCTACCTGCCTGCCAAGCCCTCCTCATTGCGAAGCACCTTTGGAGCGGTACGCCTTTCAGATGCCTAGTCACAACGCAGTAGCCGTTTCATCCGAAGGATTGCAGACCATCTGTCGGTCTGAAGCCTCTGAGCCTTTTCTGTGTAAACCTCTACGGTAGGGTCTAAGTCAGGCTCTGAGGACGGGTGCCATCGCTGCGCATATCCTTCTACAACACACAGGAGTTTCGCCAAATGGGGGACGCAAAATTGATCCCATAATGCTACAATTATTGCTCCCCAAAAAGGTAGTTCTAATTCTGGGTCATTCCTACAGTAGATCACAATTCGGTCTTCTTCCCAGCCTGTAGACTCAAAAGGGAATGGCCACATGCAAAGGAATGCAGGCATTGTTCCAGCGGTGCCGCCTCCGCCGAATACACACGTCCAAATGGCAATCAGGATGCTCTCAGCTCGTCTTCTGATGATACGGTGTTGCCATGAGTTTGTAGTATCGGTATTTGTATCAGTGATAGCATCATGATAATCTTGTTATTAGTACTTTTATACTGTTACTCCTACGATTCGGGCACTATGGCTTATGAGTACAGTATGCCTTCCGACAGGGTCCGACTCACATGCTAGACATAGCATGGCGCCCTTCTGTGTAATCCTGAAATACCCTTGCTAGCTGCTATACTACTGTAATCCACATAACCCCTATGCCCCATACCTACACCCCTCTGTATATCAAACCCTCACCCCCCAAAACTGCCATCTGCATGTAATCCCAGAGTTTACCTTTCCTGCACCTCCCAAAATACCCACAACACCGGCCTCAAGGCCCAGCAAAAACGGGCATAAGGCACAGATTTTGGGATTTGGGAGGTATAGCCTTTAAGCCCACTCGAAAAAAGTATGCCGGCCATTTGTTACCTGGGAGGCCCAAAGCCCTAAGCCCTAGACTGTGTAACGGTCGAACTTCCAGGTTGCAGGGTTTCATTGTGCAGCTCCGCAGGCGACTCACGCCTGAGTAGTGAGGGGTGTTTAGGGTCTAGGGGTTAGGGTTTAAGCTTAACATGTTGGCCACTATCACTATAATCCTAAACCCGAAACCCTAAACCATCATACTATAATGCCCCCTTCACCTCCAACACCCTAAACCCTAATCCCGGTAGACATGAGATACCCCTTGATACTTTTACGTGCGGCAGGCAGTTGCTGATTGCTGTTGCCATCCTTCTTGCCAAGAGCGGGTAAGTCTTTAAAGGCCAGACCCTGGGTGTTGCAGGGTTCTGTAAGGGTTCGGTTTCGGGCTCTAATAGTGATATAAGGGTTAGCGTTATAGGACTGGATAGGCCCCTGGGATATTTTTTTCATTTTCTCTAATGGCTTTAATGAGGGACCCTATATACTAATATTTTTCAAAGGGTTTTAGGAGCCAACCCAGAGGAATACAGGTGGGTAGGATTTTAGGGCTTTACAGGGCCTTTCAGGGCTTATAGAGATGTTATGCGGATGTTCTGAGCTGGCGTGAAGCAGGGAAGAACTAGCTACTCACTATTGTTTGGCCCTGCAGGCTGCCAAATCCTAAGCGCTTACATCCG